TGTCATGGTACAACTGCGACAGTGCTGCGATCTTGTAGGGCCATGTCAGCTTGACCAGGAACTGTCAGACGTGACACAGATGTGTTTCCAGTATGCTATCAAATCTTTTGACAGGCTTTAAATTATCCAGAGCAGAACTGTCTGACCAATCGGAATCTGTTCAGTGGAAAAACACAGTTACAGGCTTGTGCGGCTTAGAAACAATAGCTATTTAATTTACAAGAGCAGGTTTTGCTAAATGTTGAATTTGAATAGACTCTGAAACAACTCTACACCCTAAAACCCTCTGATCAAAAGGCTTCCCTGTTTTGTCACATAATGTCATATTCATTTTACCAAAGTAAAACATTTACTCTGGTTACTATAATGAATTAACATAGAAAACCAGTCTATGTGGTTCAGGTATAGGCTGTAGTGTTGTCATAAATACACTGAGACTATCAAAAGGTCTAAGCTCCTAAATAACTACGTTTGTACCTAACATCACAACCAGCAGACGGCTGTGGCACTCAGTACAATGTGCCAGCCAGTGTGGTTAGCCTCTGAGTAGCTGGTCTGAGCAGCGTTTCCACCGCCTCCCTCTCACTCTCTGTCCCTGTGCCACCTGACATAGCCCCTCAGCTTGAGGATAAGTGGCTGTAATTAGGAATTTTTTCTGCCTTGCATAAGTCTTGCAGCCGGTCATTGATCACTGGTCTGTAAGCGACTGGTTATGTTAACAGAATGAAACGCACAGATAGAAATTCAAGAATTTAAATGTACTATATTAGTCTCTGAGGAGAAACATGGTGTGGGCACGATTGCTGTCGACCTCCATGCTCACACAGTTTACAGCCAAACTTCCTGAATATTTAATAATACATAAAATGTGTATTATACTGCAGATCTAAAAATGACCCAAAACAAAATTATGCAAAAAAACTTGTTTGCATAGATGCTGGTGCATTTCCATTGTGGGGAAGAGGAAGTGTACTCTTTTGTGCTTGTTGTGCCTCGGTCTAGGTAGGTGCAGCTTAGGTTGTTTATTCATCAGGTGACACAGTTTTGGTGACCATTTTTGCATGGGATTATGACTGCATTTCCATGTGCTCAGGCCACCTCTTATCACACGTGCACAGGATAGTTTTGGTGGCTTTAGTTGGCAAAGACACTCAGCTCTGACCTGTTTGTCTTATGCATCATGATACTGCAAATCAACCTATTTGTAAGTGTTTGTAATCTTTTATTATCCAGCTTACTGATCTAAAATACGAGTTTCATCATTTCTCAATTACACACCACCGTACAAGGAAGTAGAATACTTGTTTGGAGCCTACAGGAGACCTGTCAGTTTTTGCTAGTAAAATTCAGTATATCCAGTAGATGTCAAAGATTACTTAATTTGTGTTTGCCATTTATTTTCCCAATAGCACTTAGTTTGTTGTTGCATGTGAAAGCACAGGAGCAGAATGTATATATTTTTTTGTTTTGTAGTTTTGAGAGTGGGAGCCCCACTCGTCAACAAAAACAAACAGCCTTTGTGAATCCTGTGGCATGCTTGCTTAATAACGCTGTTATGGAACCCTACATAAATTGTGAGTGGTTGAGAGCGAGTGCGAGGCCAACTCCAGGGGCCAGCCTTGCCAACACAAGTTTGTATGGGAAAATATACAGTAGAAAAGGCGTTAGTTGAGGTGATGCTCCTTGCATGTTAGGCACCATGGTGCAAGAATAGCTGGCGCCAGGGTCCATCTAAATGGGTACTAATATAAAGAGTAACACTTTGAAGTGCACTGACCCAACAGAGAGTTTTGTTTATTTGACCTTGTTGTTTACGGCTTATTAAACTTCTGTGATTGTGTGTAAACAGTTACCAGGCATATGTGTGTAAATGTATTTGTGTACAGTGAATGTGAGAAGTGGTTCACTATGGTTCACTGGGAAAGGCTTTGTTTGGATAACAAGGGTGATTGGCACAGTTTGTTGAGTGAGAATGACAAACAGTGGCATTTCTAATGTGACTGTCTCTCTATATACTTCTTAATCTGGAAGTGAAACATAAAGTTTGTAGGTCAGAGGTCCCCGCGTCATTTTAACACGCACATGTGCACCTGGCTTCCTCGTCAGTGCATGTTTGTTTGTTTCGCTCTTTAATATGACGCTGTTAGCACGCAGGCGAGTACATTCTTCTGCTTACACAGAGGATGTCAGGTGAGTAGGCGTTCCTTCGGTGTAACCCAGAACACATTTGCATACACACTGCTAACATAATGTGGCCATATACAGACCACCTTCAAATGTGGTCAGCGATGAATGAGTGCTAGGCTAACCCCAGGGGCCAGCCTTGCTGACCCAAGTGTGCATGGGGCCATAAACAATAGAAAAGGCGTTAATTGAGATGATGCTAAATGCATGTTTGGCACCATGGTGCTAGAATAGCTGGCGCTGGGTCCCTCTGTAAGGGCTCTAATAGGAAGACTGACAATCCGTTCGAAGAGCACTGACCCCGTAAAAGGTTTTTGTTTATGTCACTTTGTTGTTTACTGCTTATTAAGTATGTGTGACAACAGTTGACAGGCATGTGTGTAAATGTATGTGTGTACAGCGAATGTGAGAGGTGGTGGGCTGAGAGTTTACCATAGTTCGCTGGAAAAGCTTTGTTTAGATAACATGGATAATTGGCACAAATTGTTCTGAGTGAGAATGACAAACTGTGGCATCTTCTAATGTCACCCTCTTTTATATGCTTGCTAATCTGGAAGTGAAACATACAAGTTTGTAGGTCAAAGGTCCAGGAATCAGTTTAACATGCACATGTGCACACGGCTTCCTCATCGGTACATAAACCATTGTAAAAGATAATGATGTTGTTGACGTGAGCTAGATTTATGTTGACTCTCACCTTTGGCGTAAATCCTGCTTTCATATTTTCAAGCTAGGGCTCCCAACAAAAAGTAGTTACATGTAATGTCCAGCTTTCAAACAAGCCCATACAAGTACAGTGATACAATTACAACCACACACACACACACACACACACACACACATGCACCAGTGAAGCACCAGCATGTCTGGCCCGGCCACACCCTTTCTTCTCTCCCTGCTGTCCTGTTGGGTGGTGTTAAGTTTCCTCCCGCACTGAAAACCTGCCCAGTACCAAAGATGTCATTGGTTATCTCAGCAAATAACTGCAACTCCACCGCCACCTCATTGGTCACTGGGGATGCCAGCACATCCATGATAGGTCGGAGATGCTCTCAACTGGTTTCAGGGTATTGATGACTGGCAGAGGGCTTGGCATGGTGCAAGGTGATTCTCTACGGAGCACATATCGATCAGGAAGGACTGGACGATACACAGGAGGTTTTGATCTTGAGTTCAGATATCAAGCACAAATTGAGAATTGATCAAAGTCTGAAGATTTTGTTATGCAGAACTTTAAAGCCTTGCTGAGAGGTCTATAAAAAACTTGTTTTTTCTAACACACTGAAGCTAAAACGAGAGATCTTTTTCACCTTGCTGCTATGTCTTTATATGAATTAAATCAAACTTTCACACACCTACACATGCTTGTTTCCTTAGTGTTGTGTTGTCGGGTTACGCTACTGTTTGTAGGCAAGCTGCTGTGTTGTTTTACATTAGAGAAATAATCTGATTGCAGGCGCTTTAAGTTTTATTTGACTAGGTGCAAGGAGGGCTGGGCTCATACCGGTGACCTTTCTGTTTTAGGATTTTATATCTAAGCCTGTGTGTTGTGCAGTGTCTCTGTATAGTAGATTGTGAGCGACACAGAGTGTGGGGGTTTTGGGCATATTGTTGTCTATGCTCTTCTCCTTCAACAGCAGATACAACTTTTCTTTCTCTGTAGAAGACACGCAGAGAGCACAAATATACAGTACACTATCAGCATTGCACTTACAATGAGCAAAATGTAGTGTTACTGTGCTACACACACACACACAAATACACACAGTTAGTCTGTATGCGTGTCAGCAAATCCCTGCTGCAAAACTCATGTTTCAGGGGGATTGTTTTTGCTCTCTGCTGCCACATCTCATCATTTTAACCATGTGTGCGCTTGTCTATTTTGTCATCTGTGTAGAGAAAATGTGTGTACAGGGTTTCTCTGTTTGTATGGATGTGTGTACGAGGGACACTTCCTGTACACTTTGCTCCGACCACAGCACAAACTGTCCCTCAGATGATCTCTGGCTCTCTTAATCACACACATTTTATGTTTTTAGTGTTTTGCTAATGCTCTTACCAAATGTGTACAACTCTAAAACAGGCTTAATTCCCTAGTTTGCCAACACTACAAGCAACCAGCATGAAGTGAATGGCTGAGTGCAACAGTCAAGGCTGCAGTTTCCAGACCGCTGATGTAACAAGTGTTCATGTGTCTTATTTGGATCAGAGATGACAGGGTATTTTGGCTGCTATCAAACTACTTTAAACAGTTTGGACCTTGAATTAATTATGTAATTGTACTATAAACAGATATTCTGAGAAGAAAATTACATGAATTTCCCCTAAATCGTTTTTTCTTCTTTGATAACTCCCATAAGAGTCTGGACTTTTAGTCGTGTTGAAGAACTCCAACTTAACACTGTAGTAAGAATTGTATTTTTTCCTGCCAAGTTTAACTCTGCAACCCTCAGAGACAAATCTGCTGTTGGGGTCAAAATCTTTATGGCACAGACACGCACATAGTTGTACATTTCCACTGAAGCAAATTTTGGGACTAAGATGTTAATCTCTAGGGCAGGGAGTCTTAACTGTGGAAAGCAGAGACTCTGTGTGTGTGTGTGTGTGTGTGTGTGTGTGTGTGTGTGTTGACCTGTTATGGTTGAGTACGTTTCCGATTTTTTTTGTAGTTTACTTTTAGCCTGTGATTTAGCATTGTGAATGCTTTATTGCTGCATGTTCTTAACAAACTCTGCTTGTTTCTCCAATTCTTCCATCTTTTGTCTCTCCTCTCCTCTCCTCTCCTCCTCTTCCTCTTTCAGTGGATGGTGAGGCCGATGGCAGCGCTGCCATGCAGGGTTGCTCCCCACCGCCACAGCCATCCTTCCCAATGGAACCTGCGCGTAGTGGAACCACCCCCACCACCACCACCAGCAGCCCCCCTTCGGCCTGGTTCCCCAACCCCACCCTACCCCACCCACCTCCACAGCTTGTCCTGCGTCCTCCGAGCCAGGCCGTGGGACAGTCATTAGTGAGTACGGATTTCTGATTGTCACGGTTAAAAGGCGTATGCTGGCTATTTAATACAAACACGCCCCTTGCCCCAGCTCTCGCTCTGAATGATAAAGTCTTGAAAATCTCCTACAGACCACCAGGAGCAGCAGCTGCAGCAGGAGCTGGTAGCTCTCAAACACAAGCAGCAGCTCCAGAGACAGCTACTGATCGCTGAGTTCCAGAGGCAGCATGAACAGCTGTCGCGACAACATGAAGTCCAGCTGCAGGAACATATCAAGGTGTGTGTGTGTGTGTGTGTGTGCGTGTATGTGGATCAGGAAAGAGTCCTTCCCTGAATACAGCTACTGTAGGACTGCACTCAGCAGAAACACACCTTGTGAAGGACAGGAGGTAGCATGTGCATGTGTACACTTAAGTGATGTGTGTAATTTGATCTGGTAGCAGAATTTTGCTGCTTAGTCATCTCCATGGGAACGTAATAAACTGTGTGTGTGTGTGTGTGAATTTTGATATGCGACTCACTTTGCTGAAAAGCCTCACTGTTGTTGCCACGACCACAAAATCAGCCAATAAGGATGATCAGTCTGGCATGAAAATAACTCGGATGTGTGTTCTCCAATCTGCTCAGTCTCCAGTTTAGGGTAGCGCTCATTATTGGACTGGTGATGTCAAATGATTGATTCTTTTTAGTAGGCCATGGCTGCACCTTCATCAGAACAATGTCTCCTCAGTTTTGATATGTTTTGCCCACCCTGTGCACTGTCCCACCTTCTCTGTCTCCTCTTACTCTTTCATCCTTCAATATTCTTGTCTTTCTCTCTGCCAGCACCAACAGGATTTACTGGCACTCAAGCACCAACAGGAGCTGTTGGAGCACCAGAGGAAGATGGAGCAGCAGCGTCACGAGCAGGAGATGGAGAAGCAGCAGCGGGAATACAAACTCCAACAGCTCAAAAATAAGGACAGGGGGCAGGAGAGTAAGTAGCAACTGCTAGTGAATGTGATTGTTTCAAGAAAAAGATTGAACCTTGTATTTGTAACAATATTGGGCGGCTGTAGTAACAAAAACTCCCATTCTGTTAAAGCAACACAATAACTCAATGCCTTCGTTTTACAAGGTATCTGAAAATCTATCTTGTATTATGCTGTGATAAAAATGTAGTGAGTTGCTAAAAGGGCACCGGTATACCTAGAGCGAATTTAGTGAATACAATTTAAAGTAAGATGCTTGAGATCAGTTACGGGTGTTAGTGGGTCTGCATTCCTGTGGTTCAGAGGTGTCAAGCTCTAAATGAAGCTGTCATGTTTGACTTAGCATACATTCCCTCTCCATCTCCTGAACGCTGCCAACATCTGTCGTAAGTGTGCTGAAGCACTGTGTCATTTTATCACAGCAGGTGTTAGAGAGTCTCGGTCCTTCCAGACCCTCTGTCACAGCACCTGTCCTTTTGGCCCAGCAGTCAGAACAGCCTGACCTCACACCTTTACCACAGGGAATATCAGAGTGGGACAGCCAAGACCAGGCGAAAGGAGCAAGACATTCAAGTGCCCTTGTTTTTGTAATGTGTTCTTTGTCATTTACTTTTGCTTCCTTCTAAAGGATGATTTGCTCATTTCAACTTGGGTCTTATTTTTATTACTTTGGCCATCATTGCATCTTTTATGATACCACTGTACTCGCCAAACTGCTGGCTGAGATCTGGGAACACGGTGACATTTCTACAACCTTCTACTGTCAGATGATAGAGGGATAGGTTGTTAAGAAGCCAACAGTTTAGCCTTATTATCTAGTACTCTCATATATTCTTATAATATTTATCATTAGGGTTTTAGAGCACTGATGATAGCTATATTGTCAGGATCTGCTCTCACAAATAATGCTGTCCTGATGTTAATACTAACAAGCTCTGACACAATTACATAATTTTTTGGCAGGAGGAAATGTTTGGGGCTGTTCTTTGAGCTGTGTCAAATTGCTTCTCTTGTTACTGTAATTGTTTGATACCACACAAATACAAGGTGGCATGAAAGACTTGAGTTATTAAAGAAAGCACTTTGAATTGTCATGTTGTTTAAAAAGGCTAAATACATAAACCCTTACTGAATATGTTGCTTCATTTAGGATTTGAATAGCTCTAAAAATGTGGTAAAAAAAATGTGTTGGTCTTTCCAACATGCTGGTGTCTGTATGTAGAATTGTAGTGTAAATAGCCTGGTTATATTTTGGGAATGGATACTTCTATGCTATTGAGAAGAAAATGAAGAAAATGGCCTAAACCCCTGTCAGTGCTTGTAGTTATAAAGTTCACATTAGTACGACGAGACATGCAATAATGAAGACAATAACAACTGAGATATTTCCTCATTAATTCATGTAGTAAAGTTAATCAGTCTATCAAGACTGATCATTGTTAGTATGGCTGTAAAATGCTTTGATGTGGGTTGTTTTTGGCAGGCTTTGATGTGGTATTTCAGCAGAAATCCTTTTGGATATAGTTAATGGTGGACGCACATTGGGAAACATGATTTTTTTTTGCCATTAAAGTCCTTTTCCTCAACTATTCTCTGCTGGGCAAAGTGAGCCTACAGTTTGACGTCTATGGAAAGAGCATTGGGTTGTAAACAGAGGGAGCTTTGTTAAGTACTGCAATAAATTGCATAGAAGGCAGTCTCATAAAAGCCAATTTGCTTCAGCGGCTAAGCGGATATATTGGGATGTCAGCACTTCCAGATGCACCATGATTTAGAGAGCATATATTAGCTGTATTTACCACTTTCTCCCTCAGGCTTGACACATCACCTGTAATCACTCACGCTGTCACATTCTTATAAAAACACACCTCGACTGTTTTTTTCTGTATTCTCAAAACATATTTTTTTTGCCCCCTTTATTGCTCCCCTCGTTCTAGTCCTCATTTTTTCTCTCGGTTTCTTATTCTCTCTCTCTCGGCCACATCTCCCTCCCTGGACAATTTGTTTGTAGCTACAGAATGAGGGTGGTAATTGAGCAGAGACTGGGAGCTGAGTGGAACTCATGATGTGCTGCTTTGAGGAGTTAAACAGCACTGCTGTCGTCTCTGTGGAATTTCAGTGAAACTCTGATGCAAGATTGTGCTCCCTGTATGTAGGTAGAAACCCATTATGTGTCGAAAAGTAGATGAATGTTGTTATAATCCTCACGTTAGTGTCACAGATTGTACAGGAGGGAACAGTACAGTAGAGGCACTGAACCACAAACTTCTCCAGAAATGCAATACTGAAGGAAGTGTTAGTAAGGGGCAATAAATAGAGTAGAGTTATGTGGAAAAGTGTACAAACATTTGGTTACTGAACTTCCCATGTCTTTCTGTATCTCTGTCTATGTTAGGTGCAGTCGCCAGTACAGAGGTTAAGATGCGACTTCAGGAGTTTGTCCTGAACAAGAAGAAAGCACTGGCTCAGCGAAACCTAAACCACTGTCTGCCCAGCGACCCACGCTTTTGGTATGGGTGAGTGTCACAGCCCACCACTACAGAACCACTTATGGCTTTGGGATGTGACTGGTTGTATGCCAGTGAAGGATTTATGTGATATTAAGTGAAAATTCAAGTTTATTTCAGTAGACAATTTAAATTTACACAGGATTTGTAAAATAGATTTAAAATTGGTTTGATGTGTAAGAAATAAACAGGCACAAGAGAAGAAAAAGAAGAAAGGTTAAATAGGAGAAACATTCCACACTGATGAAACCTTATATTTCTGAGCTATTTTTCCATTTTTGTGAGCCTTTTAGTTTTGCCTTTTCTCATCTAAGCCAAAAAAAAAAAAAACACTGGGAAAATATCAAACATAAAAGGCACAATGATGAGAAACATAAAAGTCCCACATCATTGTGCCTTTGCAGACATGGTGGTGTTTTGAGCCCCTGTTGTGTGGATGTTCCTCTGTGTGTAAGAAGTTACCAACATCAACATTAGCATCTCTGAGAGTCCTCGCCAGTTGCCTCTGAGTAAAAGTAAAAAGAAAATGTTGAAGGAACAAGGCTTTTTTTGTCTATGTTTGTAGCCCTTGATTGGCAACTGGTTCTCTTTTAGGTATGTTTGTGTGTGCGTGTGTTTGAAGTGGGCACAGAAAAAAGACAATGGCACCTCTCCTGCGCTTTAAATATTTGAAGAGGCTTTAAGCAGTCAAACATTTCTGCCAAGGCAGGAGATGATAGAGGAATATAAAGAGTGTGCCATCAGTGAGGGAAATGGCTTTCTGTCACTGTCACCACCATCACCAGCTCTCCCATCTCCTTAGTCTCTTTCCTGTTAGCTTTCTCCTCAGTTCTTCTGAACATTTTATCCTTCTTCGGCCTCATATTTCCTCTCATCCTGCATCTATCACCTTCCCCATCCCTGTCTCTATGTATTTTCACACACTTTCTGTCTGTCTCTTTTTCTATTCCACCTACATTGTTGTCCACACTGTGTCCTTTAAAGTGTTGACCTTGGGGAGGGAAATGGAAGCTGTCTTTGTCACTAGACCTTTTGTGTGTGTGTCAAAGGAAAGTCTGGTATGGTAAAGTAGGTAGATGAAGTATGTATAATATGACCTTGGCAAGCACACATGGAGCCAGACCTCACTTGATACATTGCACGTTATAACGGTGTATTTAACATTTTTTTAAATATTCTTTTCTTGTAGAAAAACCCAGCACAGCTCTTTGGACCAGAGCTCTCCTCCCCAGACAGCATTGTCAGCGTACAACCACCCGATGCTGGGCACATACGACTCAAAAGATGACTTCCCTCTCCGCAAAACAGGTACAGAATGGTGTCATGGTTTTGCTAAGGTATCATTACTTTCTCACATCCATATTCCTCCACCTCTTAAAACCAGTCTGGAAGGGCGCCCTAATCTTCCTTTTCTCTGCATTAGCAATTGAAATGGCTTATTGGGTTTCAACAGTCAGGCACATGAACCAGGAGTCAGCCACTGGAGGATTAAAAGGAGCCCCTAAAATATTATCAGGAAAAAGATATCAAAGGTTATTTTATGAAGTCTTTTGAACCAATTTTAATGTAAATTAGGGTGAATGGATGGTGAGTAGAACCACTCTAAATCAGAATATTAGAAACCTTAAATTCACTAAAAGAAACAAATGTGTTAAAGGAATAGTTTGACGTTTTGGGAAATACATCAGTTTGCTTTTTTTGCTGAGAGTTAGATGGAAGATTGATACCACTCATATTTGTGCGGTAAATGTGTAGCTGTAGTCTGGAGCTTGTTGTTGTTGCTCTGTCAAAAGGTAACACAATTTGCCTTGAAGCACCTCTAAAGCTCATAAATTAACATGTTGTATCTTGTTTGTCTATAATACGTACAGAAACCAAACTGACAATTTGAAAGCTTAACAGGAGGTTGTGTGTTGGACAATTTTTTCGTGGGGTCCAAGCCAAGAAACAGCCATAAATAGTACTGAAAGTATTTTTGTTCCTGCTTTCAAGGTCTTACAGTGAATGAAAGTAGAAATACTTGAGGGTTACTTACTTCTATTCAGCCTTTTGCTTTATCATCAGGTGTTTTTGATATTTTTTTTTTCAGAAGCCAGTTGGCTATTTTCCTGTTTTAGACTAATTCACACTGATATTGACTAACACAATCAGGCAGGCTCCTTTACATACGTCATAGATCATACTGTTCAACAAAACAACCCTTGAATACGAATAGCACGTAAAAAACACAGTTCCTGCCTTTTGGATGCATCACTGTTATTTCTCCGTCCTTCTGTCCATGTCAAGTACGGCCAAGGCTGTGATTGTTCACTTAGCGTCAGCAGCTGCTTTGGCAGTATTGCTGCCTGCTTTCACAGCTGGAGGCCAAGCTCTGTGTACTCTCCACTCCTGCCCACCTACCGTGAGCTGGAGGAAGGAATGATTTATCCTGGCACACAACCTGAGACGGCAAGTTTCAACTTTCAGGGACACTAAAATGTAATTCAGGAATTTCTTGATTTGCCATTGGTGTTGAGAAATATTCACAACACAACTTACAGTTTCACAGTTCATAACCAAAGTACAACAGGCACTATCACTGTGAATATGTTAAAAAGAAAATGACATATTTTCAGGAGAAATTTAGTTTGAGATTTGAAGGCAGTGTTCTTTGTCTTTGTGTCAGTTGTGAGGAGAAGCAGAGAGGGAATACTGACATGTGCACACATATGGCACGGCTGTTGAGGAACTGTTGTGTCAACAGTGAGGAGACATAGATCAGATTAGACTGGCAGACAGAGAGATGAACTGTGCTCAACAGGAAGTGAGTGACAGTGGTCACCACAGTTGTGCGCCGCTCTGACGACTAGAGCTGTCACACATGACGTTTTTGCCTGTGGTGACCCATTTTAGTGATGTATGCGTGTAAATTGAAAAAAATGTACGTTAAAAAGCGAGGCCAGGCGTACAGTATATTACAACAGTGGTTCATTGTTCAAGTCTGTGAGGCTTTGTGATAGTGACTCTGAGAACACAGAGGGCCACTTTGAATGCTGTGGCAGGAAGTCTGTTAGGCCTTCATGACAGACGCTGACCCCCTTTTCTCCCCCACTCTTTCGCTCACTGAATCACACACACATTCCCATGCCACACTGTGCACTGAACATTTAAATCCTGCAGGATGTCCATATAAAGTATAACATTTCCATATTAACCACTTCCAGGTATTTGACTAAACCAAACTCATTGGTAAAAGCCTGGTGTTTTATACATCTAATCTCAGTCCCATTGGTTTGAAACTTCACACTGTTTACTGGACGCCACTGATTTTAAAAATCACCTCCAGGAGAAGGCCTCATTAGTTGTAACAATTTGTCTATCTGTCTGCCTACCTACAATATGTCCTTCTAACATATCTACTGTACCTAATGTGTCAACACCATATGAGATTTCTGGGAAGCTGCATTGATGAGTTTCAGCAAACTACTCTATTGATTTCCATAAATCTCTCTCCCTCTCCACCCATTCCTTGGAAGAGCAGCATGGCTTCCCCCAGCATGACTCTTGCAGCTCGGGACTCCCATCTGTCAAAACAGATGAGCAACTGATCAATATGTTTTGTATCAGAGAACCAGTTTCCTCCTCCACTCCCTATTAAAATATTAAGCACCACTTATTGAGACGTTTAATCTGGTATTGATATGTCATCAGACAGGTAGGCATAGAGACATTACTTAGTTTTGTACAGTTTTTAATGGCTAGAAGTGTGAAAGTGGATCAGAGAGAGACCTTGAAAGATTTATTTTTTTTGTCTCAAGCAGCATTGTGTAATAAGAGATTAGAGAAACACTGAAGCCACAATGCAGCACATGTCATCAGGACATTGTAAAGTGAATATACAGTACTACCTTGCTTCATGTGTCTTTCATGGTGTTAATTCACTTCCTTGTCTTAAAAGCCATTTTGGCCACCGAGGGCTAGTGTGGAAATTTCTTTTTCAATGTTGCAGTTATAATGCCAGGACTGTGGGTAATTTTGTACCTCAACAATGAGGGCCCTCACAGAAGAAGACGAGAAGATGTTATTGCCTGACAACACTGGATTCACAGTTACAATAGTCAGAATATGTAAGAAAAGCCTGAAAAACTTTAAAAAATGCATTACATTTTTTGGGCCATCAACATCCAAAAGTGGGACTGTGAAGATTGCTTTTACAAGGCAGCGTGTCCACCTTTGCATTGCTTCTGTTGTGCATATTTGCATGAAAAAAAAACTAAGGTGAAAGGGTCAACAACGAAAATGAAAAGAACTTATGCCAGGGGAAAGAGAGAAATGGGGATTAAGAGGGCGGGAGAGAGAGGACCGGGTGGATGGAGGTGAAGGAGGGAGGATGGGCTACAGTAAAATGCCAACATCAGCAGTAAAACCAGTCTGGGCCCTCTGCAGCGAGTGTGTTCGCACGTGTCCACACTGGTGTGCTTTTGCCCAGTCGGCATTAACACCCTTCAAAGTCACTGCGTCCTGAGGTGAACACCCCTGTGGCGACCAGTGCCCAGCAAACACACACCCCTACTTCACCCTCCTGCTCTTTCTCCTTTACTGTCCTCCTAACCTCCCACTAACCTTCCATGTATCCTTCTATCTAGTCTCCCTCTACTCCTCCTTTTAGCCATCCATTTCTTAATGAATCAGGATGCACAAACACAACCTTGACCAACCCCCGTCCTCCATTCCACCATCTTTGTGTCCCTTGTTTCTCCTTTCCTGGCTACCCACCAAATTGTCCACAGTTTCTGTCACCTTTGCAGCCCACTGTCAGTAGATCCTCACAGTGGAGGCTAATAATGTTTCCTGTGACACCTGGTTAATACTTGGACAGCGTAACAAAACGGAAATGTCAAATGTTTGTTTATGGGTTAGCGTATGCATAGCCAGAGATGATTGAGTCTTAACTTTAGATGTTGGCAATTCCAACACCATGGATCATGTTAGAGCTGGTCTGACTATAATAAGCATAGTTATGATGTCATCTAATTTCAGTCAAATTCTCTTCACCATGGTTCATTTAGTCTCCTCGTCATTAACAAAATGACAGGGTTATCATTTAGGGATGTTCGAAGCACTTAAAAGCACTTTGAGAATCAAATAGGCATAAAATAATGTTGAATAGTTTGGTGCATGATTACTACAATCTCTATTGGCAAATGGCAATTGCATTAACATGCATTAACTAAACTAACACCAAATGCTTTTTGTAACATACCAGAAAATAATGGAGAAAATCTGATTTTCAGTTGTATTTTTTTTTATCATATTGTAATAATTATGGCAATAATTGTAGCACTTGGAAACTACTCCCTGTGCAGGAGACTAAAATTGAACTTGACTGCCCTATTCCCCTCTCATAGTCCCTCATGCTGTGTCCTCCAGTTCAGCTAATGCATAGTGTTTTATCCTGACCCACCCCATCCCTCTTAACAAAGACTTTGGAAGAGTGCCCTCCACTTAGAAGAAGCTCTTTTTTAAATAATTGAGTTTCATAAGTTCAGCAGTATGTTCCCCTTAAAATTGAAAGTGCATTTGAAAAAGTACTTAGACATTATAGATTCACAATAGGTCATCTCAACCCCACTGACCAAGAGGTATATAGAGTGCTTGCACCTCTTTGAAGTACATTAGAACTTTGTGTAACTTCATCCTACCTTGATTAGCATTCCCAGCTACAGGGAGCCAGGGCCAAGGGTTTTGTAATGACCCTGAATAAGTCTTTTAACAATAAATCGCTACAGTACACACAGAAGAATCAATTGCTTTCACTTGGCTGTACCAAAAAGTGCCAGCTCCTTCTCTAAGGCTAATGAACTTGGCGTTGTCTGTTTGTTACGAGGTCGTGGGACGAGCATAGGGTCAACTATTGGTCAACCGTCCAGCTTCAACTAATTGAACAGAAGGAAGCCAGTAGAGGAGGGAATAAAGCTGCCCGTGTCTGGGGTAGTCTGGTAGAGAGACACCAAAGCAAGATTGGCCAGAAAAGGTCAGGTCCTATCCCTGACCCTGACAAGATTCCCAGAACACACTGAATGCTTGCCTCTTCTCTCTCCTGCCCTCATGTCGCATTTCCCTCTACAGAAAACACAAAATACAGTACTAGGCAGGCACATACCCATACAAACAAACATCGAGCCCCATACTGGCAGTTTTTTATTGTAATTCTAGTGTCTGGAAACAAGCAGTGTTCATTAGCAGAGCATGGAGGCAGCATCATTAAGCATGGGGTCAAGAAAGCTGCCAGTTGGCTGCTTCCCCTCTTGTTGCAGCGCTTCCCACTGTCACATGATGATGGCTAACCTCAGCTCCTGAGTCTGTCAGCCAACACATACAGTGTAGCCTATAGGGACGAGCTCATTAGCCCCGCTACATGCCCGCGAACAAGCTCCCACTTGTGCTGCCCAGCAATCTACCACAAATCTGAGTGCCAGAACGACCGTTTAGAGAGAATCTGTAATTTTCACATTTATGGAGCTAATTTGAGGTGTAACACATTAATATTTTTAGATTGGGTGGCCCAGTTGGAAATCAGATACTTAAGTCATCGCTTAACTCTGTCCTTTTAGTCCACCGTCCATTTACTTGTAATATGGGGTGGGATAAGCCACATTTGATGACAAAAACACGTATTGACAACACATCTTTTCATATTTTCATGTATTTCATCAAAATGTAAAAGCCCATCTTAAATACTTTTAAGTTTTCTCTTAATGTAGACTGAACCTTATCCATATTTTGAGTAAATCCACCATCATGTTCCTGTTCTCTTTGTGTCTTGTCAGCGTCTGAGCCCAACTTAAAGCTTCGTTCCCGGCTAAAGCAGAAGGTGACCCGCAGTAGCCCTCTGCTCCGGAGGAAAGATGGCCCCATCACTACTGCCAAGAAGCGCTCCCTAGATGTGGCTGGTGAGCTCTCACTGGATTTCTACTGTTTTAGTTTGGTATCATGTTACAGATGTGCAGAATCGGATATTCAGTTCTTTGTTAAACAAGTGAAAAAGATTAAAATATCCCCTTTCTAGCCTATATAACATCAATAAATTGGATTTTTCCTAGCAACATTAATTTTGATCTAAAACTGTCATATAAATTGAATTAAATACCAGCATCATTAAATTTGGTGAGGTTTGGATATAAAAAAACAACAAATTAAATTGAAATTAAATTAAATTATAAATACATCCCCAAAGGGCTATAACAAAATAAGGTCAAGAAATAATAGTGTCATATTTCATCTCAAAAGGAGATTGGCCCTGGACAGCATGTTAGTAACATCTAATTTCTGTGCTGTGTATGTTCTAGAGTCTGCATGCAACAGTGCACCAGGCTCAGGTCCCAGCTCCCCCAACAACAGCTCCAGTAACATCCCCAGTGAGAACGGTGTCACCATCTCCAGCAGCCCAGGAGAGGTAACCAACATGGCTGCCAGTGTGTGCATGTGTATGACTGTATATGCACGTGTGTGTGGGTGTGTGTTTGTTTTGGTGTCTGTGTGTGTGAGGGAGGAAAATGACCAAAGGACTATCTATCTATCTATTTTAATGGAGGGCTCAAGTTCTGTGTGTGCATGATTGTGTGTGTGTGTGTGTGAAAAGGAGGCGAAGTAAAACACTGTATCTAACACTGTGTCTACTTTGTGTATAAGCTCTGTGAGTATTTACTGTAATGTTGTGTGGTTGTGTGTTTTCAGGCCTCCTTGCTTCAGAGGTTGGCTGCAAGGGAAGGTTCAGTTAGCCAGCTCTCTCTCTACACCTCCCCTTCTCTGCCCAACATCACCCTGGGACTGCCAGCCACAGGCCCTGCTAGCACTGTGAGTACAGTAAATGCACAATATTGTAATGATATAACAGAGCATTACTAATTATGCCAAAGAATATTTACTTTTACAAAACATGCACCCAAAATGTACCTTTGTACCTCTAATGGTTCTCTGCCTGGTTAGTTTACTACAGAGAATAATACTAGGTTTATTAAAATCAGCACTCACTAGTCTGTGCACACAGAGTAGGCCAAGTCTAAACTGTTTTCATTTATGCATAGAAAAATTCAAAAAGGGAAAGCTCTTGTCAGTGATTTTTGGCATGAAGATGCCTTACTGTACATGTCTCTCTCTCTTCTTCTGATTCCCTTTCTCCATCTCACTCCCATTCTGTCTCATTTGACCTTTCTTTGTCTTTGTCCATCTGCTTCTCTGTGTGTCTGTCTGCCTGCCTCTTTCATTCTCTGTCCTCGTGTCTCAATCTCTGTCTCTCTTTGTAGGTGGTATCGGGACACCAAGATGGTGAGAGTCGTCTGGCATTGCCTGCGCTACAGCAGGGCATTCCCCTGACCCCTCCATTCCTGCCCTCTGCCCACCTGCCCTCCTACTTGACATCCTCAGCTCTGGACAGGGAGGGAGCTGGAGGGGGCACGGCTGGCCACAACCCCCTCCTCCAACACATGGTGCTGCTGGAGCAGGGCCACAATCCAATGGGTCAGTATTAGTACCTATAAATGAGTATAGTATAAGCATAGTATAAGTTAATGTAATTGACTTACATAGTTATTTTTAAGCTAAAAAGCACCACTCTTAGATGTAATTTGACCTGTACTTTGTCTACATATTCTCTTTTTTTATGACCTGGGATTCCTTTTTGTAAGCTTTGCAACCAAGTTAGTAGTGATAAGATTTCTTATTTGTATTGATTTTTAAACATTCAAGGCAAGGCACATAACAGACTCTATGGGGAATCACAATCATGATGTATCACACTTTTGTCCTCCTACTAATTGTTTTGAATTACTTGAAAGTGAAAAGGAAGATAAATGTACCCAAACTGTCTAGTTATAATCCTCTGTTGAAAATATGATGTATAATGTATAATAAGTAATTTCTACATCTAGGGATCTCTCACATCAAAACAATAACAAAAGATGTAGTTTGATGACATTGTGAAGTACTGTGGAATCATGGGAGTTGTTGTTTTCATTGTTAAACAACCACCAATGCTGATGAAAATCTATCTGATGTGATACAGAAACTGTTCTTGGACAAAGTAATGTATTAAAGTTTCAGTCACAGTTGCTGACTTTCTTCTTTATTCTCTGACATATCCGATGTATCCTGGAAGTTATAGCAACTAGAGGCAGGCAAGGAAACGCACCATGAAATGTGCCATTACTGGGATAAAGTTACAGATATCTTTGGGTTTGAACATTTTCGGAAACATTTGGGATAATGTACGTATAACTCAACTTTAATTTGTAAATGTTACATACTATATCCTTAAGAACTGAACCTTACAAAATAAATAAACAAATCCTGGGAAATCGTTTAATTTTAAAAAAGGCTCATTAATCAACAGCTCGGCACTGTAGTATACATTGTGCATTTTTTGGGGGCTATTTCAGCCGTGGACAATGCATGTGCGACTGAGTCATAATCAGCTACAGTGCCCACATTCATCGTAAGAAAGGAACAAGTGTCTTTGGCACAGAGCAGCAGGCGCTTAACTCAATGCAGTCATTCAAAAGTTCAGTGAGTAATAAGGAGTCTGATC